TGTAGTCATGCTGTACCGCATTCCTACGTGCGGGCGGGTTGTCTACTCATTCGGCACTAAGGCGCTGTGGACAGGGGCGATAGGCAAGCCTGCCCGCACTTGTTCTTGCGGTACAGTATGAGTACAGAAGCGGAGTTAATCAGCCACCTGGTAGATGGGCCGCCTGGTATGGACTTCCCCATCTTGATGATACACCTACAAAAAGTGCATAGCATGGATCAACTCGCCCGCTTCGCTGATAGAGCCCCTCCTGAGTGTAGAAACAGTGCCATCTCGTGTGTGAGTGAACATTGACCTGAATATATCTAGTATTGTATATATTTTAAATTAAAGTCCGATGAAGACAAAAGTGACAGGCCCTTGCTGATGAAAGGGGTTTCAAGGAAGAGCGTACAAACACGTTTGAAGAGACGTCTGTTGGGCTCCGAGTGCGAGACGTGCCAGAGCTTTCACCATGCACTAAGGAAGAATAGTCAGGCAAAACAATAAACATGCTTCCCACTAGGATAGAGCGATAAGAGAGATGATATAAGACATGCAACACACAGCCGTATGGAGGTGACGAGACGTAACAAGAGTGGACTGCCCATTCAAACGTGTTCGGCGCTCGTGTAGAAAGTGAGAGAGAAGTGGAATCCACAGAGTAGAGTTACAGCGTTACTTTCTCTTTATTTCAAACTCAAATATATGTACAATAAAGTGACATTTCCTTTCAAAAATATAAGACATCCTGCTAGCGTGAAACTAAGCATACAAAATTTGCCTCTGACAATTGTAAACATGACTTACACAGTACCTATTTACAAATTGCTGAGAGAACTAACTCTTCCCCCCAAAATATTTCTCGGCATTATGACGAGCTTTTCATTGAACGCGTCTGATTTAGTTATATTTACATAGTGACTCAAACCGACAACTGTTAATATACTTGATCTAGCTCATTGCAAGCGGCATAGGCACTTTGTTTTACTGATACAAGAGACCAATAAATGCAATTTTAATGTTTTAAAAGCAGCACAGCTCTAGTTCCAAATGCCACATTTTCGCAGAAACCACTATGGACAAAACAAATACATTTTTGTGGTGCGGATGCCATTTGCACAAGCTGTGACTATACCAGAGGTGCTTTGAATAAAAAGTTGTAATGAGGCCGTAAAAACTTCAACCCCATCCATGTGGATTCCACCTCGTCGGGGCGACACAAGGGAAAAGAGAAGGAAAGCAGGGGAGGGGGAGTCTAGTGCCTCTCAAGCACAGACTAAGACGACCAAGCAATCGGTGCACAAATTCCCTGCCATATGCATAACTAAAACATAAATGCCACGCTTGGCAAACTAGACGTTGATGTTGAAAACCAGCACCGAATGTTGTGCTGGTATCCTAACCAGCACAAAACTTACACAGAGCCCATTAAACATATCACCCGAACCTTTTATCGACTTTTATTTCTTAACAACACGAAGTGAGGTAGTTTTCTAAGCCTAAGGACCTCGCGGCGCTGCTCTAGTATGGGCCGCCGCGAGACCGCCTGAGGAACCTGTTGACGGACTGCTTGGTCTGCTCCAGGGTGGGGAGGGCTTTGCTCAGGAGATTGGTCGGGGACGGACCGCGGGGAGACGTCGATTCGGGGAGGTCTAGGATCTCCTCGGGGCTGAGGGGCGCGATGGGGGCCGGGGCGGGCTTGGGGGGCTGCTGGGCCAGCCAAGGGCGGCTCTGCCTCCAGGGGCGGGACTGGGCTACGGGGGCGGGGGTGGCGGCGGGGCCGGGGGCGTCTGAGGACGTTGATGGAGATGTTGCTTGTTGTTGTTGTTGCTTTTGTTGTTGTTGTTGGTTCTGCTGCGCCTGCTGTTGGTTCTGGCGTGTCGCGGAGGGCGTAGAAGTAGAAGTGGTGGCTGTAAATACACACACAGGCAGAGATGACGACTTTGCGATGCCATTGTGCGGTAGTCTCTGTGGTGGGGCGTGGAGGGGAGGGGGACGAAAGCAGCTGGGGGGGAATGTGCTTTCCCGACACCCCCTTCTAAACGCAAGACAGGCCGGAGAGTTCGAGTCACGTCCGAATGGTGTTTGGTTTCGCCATTACAGAAGGGGATGCACAAAAATGCAAAAAAAGAATGCACACTATGAAAAAAATAATAGATGGATAAACTGCAGATGACATGCAGATGCAGAAGGGCTACTAATATTTATCTATCGTTCAAAAAATGACATGCAAAAAGCACGCAAGGTGCTTTGTGGTGCAAAAAAAAAGTGGTGGCAGAAGAAGGAGGTTTGATTCACGGTAAATTTAAACTAAACAGAAATAAATTGGTTCTGCTTTGGAAGGACAGTTGCTCGACTTACCGGTGTCGTCCCGGCTGCCTCGCCGCGCCGCGCTCGCCGTGTCGCGGGCGTTGGCGCTCCTGGCGAGCAGGGGGCCGATGTCAGTGCGGTTCACTTCTTCTGAAAATCAAGGGAGAGAGCGACCAATGACAGCGAGACTTTGAGGGGGATGGGGGTATCTTAGGTGGTGCGTTTCCATCGTGCGAACCTTTCTTTGTCTTGTCCTCTTCCTCCTCAGAGTCCGTCTCCTCCTCGGAGCTGCTCTCGGTGCTGTCCTCCTCGTCATCGTCCTTGGCCTTGTCGGCCGGTGGCGCGGGCCGGTTACCTCCTGCGCGACGTGGGACAAGAGCAGCGATATTATTGGAGGTGCTTAAGACAAACTGTTGGTGACCTCGCCGGTGTGTGGCTTTTGGTGGGACATACCGAGGAACCTGCTCTGGAAGCGCGGCGGCGTCGTCTCCTGCGGCGGCTTGGCCGCCGCCGGCGTGCTCGAGGTCCCCGTCGTGGCTGCCGCGCCGCGGGCCAGGAACTTCTGCTTCACCTGCACGTCAGCACAACCCCGTCACGACACTACACACACAGCAGCCAGCAGGGAGCGGGAGGGGGGCACCCATGGGGTTGAGGAAATTGTACGTGATTCGGACCAAATTGTATCGGTCACAGCAAACCTGATACGATTGCGTCCGTTCTGTGGGACCATCCATCCGGGCGCTGTTTTAAACTCGCCATGCATCAATAGAAAACATGATTTGTGTCGAGTGAACGTGCAATTGTGAGATTTTAATGAATCAAAGCAATACAATCGTGCATGACATGATTGGCGAATGAAATTCTCTGATCATGGGTCGCTAACTGGGAATGAATGGAAAAGGGACAACTAAGAATGTGGCAAATGGAATAATTTCTGAGCGCGCATTTGTCAGGCCAGCAGGCAGTGGGGCCCATGCCTGCCCCTCATCTCTCCAATAAGGCTGAACTCAGATCACCTCTTCGGTCGTGAAGGCAGCGCCCGTGTTGCGGCTCCGGGAGGACTCGGACGACGTGCCGGAGTCGCTGGACCCCGAGCGCGGCTTGGCGATCGGCGGCGTGGTGTCGCCCCGGGCGCGCGCGGCCGACGGCGACCCGAGGCCCTTGCGCTGTCGGAACCACCACACACCCGTGTCTTGTACTGGGCTTCAGTGCACAGCGGAGGCAGCGACATAGGCGAAGAGAGCGATAGAGGCGAGGAGAGATAGAGGAGAGTGAGAGGAAGAGAGAGGGAGAGAAAGAGGGATAGGTGAGAGGGGGAGGGAGGAAGAACTCCGAGAGGTACGCGACCACTGACAATGGCGCTCGTCGGCGATTGTGGTGAGCAGTATTTGACGGGCACGGTTTTCATGCCGGTCCCGGGAAAGTTTCGACCGTCTTCCCGCCTACCCTTTCTTATGGTTCCGGAGATTGGCCAGCTCGAAGATGAGAAGTGAATGTCGGTTTCATGAGAATGAGTTGATAATAATTCATGGCATGACTATGGACTATGGCATGACTATGGCATGACATGGAATATTTACAATGATTCAGAAACAAACTACAAAAAATCTTTATAAAATGAAAATAGAAAAGGAAAAGAAAACGAAGCAAACAGTCTCCTATAAAATCAAACTACGGGTCAGGGGAAAAGCAAGTAGTAGTAAATGTAATGATCGAGAGGGCACTAAAAAGCGGGGTTTGTGAATAACAGCGGAGCGGCGATAAAGCTGCTAATCGTGATGGAGGTGCTAATCTGCAAATAACTGCACTCTGTGGACGCCGGTATAACGGCGTTGGCCTACCTGCATGGAGGACGCGCTGGAGCCATCATCCGAGTCGTTGTCGCTGGATCCCTGCAAAATCCAATTAAAGCGAAAGTTATGCGACGGGTGATAACAGCAACCCGCACTACCAGAGAACGCATTGGCCTCTCGTATAAAGTAGGGAGAGGGGTTGGGGTGGGGGCTCTGCTGAAAATGAATCCCAACAGTCCGCATACTCAGGCAGTAGTAATTACTACATAATAATAATCATAATCATAGCCGTAAAAAATGAATGCACTCGTTAGGCGACCGTGCACGTTGCGACCTTGGCCGGAGCCCTCTCCGCGCCGTACTGCAGCACCCCCTTCCCCCCTCCCCCACCCCCAGCCGCCACCACCGGATCAACCCTTTGGCGCGAGGGCTGAAATGAGCTGGTTGTTCGGCCAGGCCTCGGGCCACCCGGCCAGGCCAGGCACTTGGGCGGGGCCGTGCCGTGCAGCGGTACTGGCGTCGTAAAACGGAAACGACCCTTCGTCCCTCAACGCGTTCGGGTACTTCTTTCTCCCTCTTCTTCACGATGCTGGAAGCGGAAGGGGCGCGCCTGGCGGGGCGGGGGTGGATCGGCGCGTCGACCGAATGACCTGGAAGAAGCCCCGCCCCGCCCCTCCTCCCCCGCACACACTTCAGCCTCTCCTCCTTCGACCCCTCGTTCCTGGACCCTTCTCTATTCAGTAGTTCTTTCCATTTCTCGACCATTTGCTGCGAGGCACCCGGCGGCCCGGGTGGCGGCGATGGATTTGGACGGTCAGGCGCGGGGGGGAGCCTGATACACGGGGAGGGAACGCAGAGCACTTCCCCGGGGCTGGCAGCGGTCCGCCCCCACATCGCTTCTGTCTGAATCTTTTAAAACCGTAAACCCCGTGGGCATTTTTCTTTGGACGACGCGTTGCTCGCATAATATACGAACCTCGTGGCTGCTGCCCCGCCGCCGCTCCTCCTCGGCCTTCTTGAGGCTGGCGACGCGCTCCGCCGCGGGCCTGGCCGGCGTGGACGCCTCCCTGGCCTCGACCACGGTGGCGGGCGTCTCGCTGGACGACGCCCCGCTCTTGTTTTGCCGCTTGATTTTCGCGATCTCATCCTCCTCGCTGACCTGCGAGCAGAAAACAAGGGACAGTTATTCATCCTTATTGAGAGCCGGCGCCTAGAAATGAGCCACTTTGTGGGCACTTTTCGTTTTTTCTTGCTGGTGCCCTGGAAGTAATTTTTTGGGGGGGAAGGACGCTATGTGAATTTTTTTTAAAGAACATCAAATTATTTCCGTTTTAGGTGAAACCTTTGTCTCAATCTCATTGCAGGTGTAGCATCACTGCGGTAGAATTGGGACCCTGTTTCATCCTGTGATGATTAAATAGTTAGTAACGGTTAGTGGTAAAGGCCTTTGTGATATCAAAGGGTTGAGATGAAATGATTTGCTCTCTAGTCCAAAGCTGTAGACACCAAAGTGTCCCCGACTCCATTTTAAAACAATGATTCTCATGATTACCCCGGAAGCAAAAGTAGAGTAGCACAATTTGGTGAAAGTGGAAAAGGATGATTTTCAGGAAAAAATGACGCACAAGCCGTTTTGTATGCTAAAATAAATTTATTGCGGTTTTGTTATCACAATAAACAATGACATGAGCTGCGCCGCACAAAAAAGGGACAGGAGCCTGAACCAGCTCGTCGATACAAATATAATAAAGATTAAAACATTTAAAAAAATAAATTCTTCAATGTTGAGCAAACGTATTTTCCGACGAAAGGTACAGTCTATGAGGCAGCTTACAATAGGCATCGAAACACAGGTCCCACAATAGCAAAAGTCACACACTTAGTTAACTAACTGATCCAGCCGACTTTGAATGTGGCAATCAGTGCGTCCCGTATGATAGATGGAAACCAAAATTCAAGGATAGACACGGCCATTTATCATATGAAGAGTTTGGCACACACTAAAAGTAACTTTTCAACGCGTAATCAGAAATTTGTACAAAATAGCTCGAAAATGTATAGTCGAGTTCTGTTTTGTAGAGAGGCAAATGTTAGTAAAAATAAACCGTAGAAACGTGTTTCAAGAAGGGGGAAATAACACGGTGTCCGGGGAGCAGGGGGGAGGCCGAGAAGACGGAGGGCCGAAGCGATTGCGGGGGCGGCGTGACACTCTACACCCGGCTAAGCTAGAGAGGGAGGGGGAGAGAGAGATAAAGAGAGAGAGAGAGAGACAGACAGACAGACAGACAGACAGACAGGCAGAGAGACAGACATAGAGAGACAGACAAGAGACAGACATAGAGAGACATAGATGTGAAAACACGCACCATGCGTCCCAAATATTGTCCTGAAAATTCATCGGGCTTAATAGGAATTATCTTACAACTCCGACGTGCGAATGGTAAATAATAAAGCGAAGAGACGGGGAGGGAGGGTGAGGAGGGATGACGACACCCTCAACGCTAGCCGCGTACCCGAGCGCGTACCGCATGGAATATCGATACCTGAGAGCAGTTCCGATGTAAAATGGCAAGCTAATCTGAATCCGTTTCCTCCTCCTCTTCCTCCTCCTCTTCCTCCTCCTCGTCCTCCTCTTGCTCTTGCTCCACCTGCGGCGTGCTCCGACTCACCCTCTCGGTGGTCTCCTCCCCCTCCTCCTCTTCCTCCTCCGTTTCCTCCTCCGTCTCCTCTTCGTCCTCACCCCCTTGCCCCTGCGCGTCCTTCTCTGCCTCCTGGCCCCCCTCCCTGATCACATCCTGCCCGCCCCCGTCCTTGGCCTCCTCCCCCTCGCTCTGTACCTGGCGCTGAGTCACCGTCTTCTTTTGCTGCTGCTGCTGTTGCTGCTGCTGAAGCATCAGCTGCTGCGGCGTGGGCTGCGCCGGCGTGGGCTGCGCCTTGTCCTTGTTCTTCTCCTTGAGCTCGGACTCCTGCAGGCGCTTCATGACCCTGGGCACGTCGTACAGCCGGGTGATGCCAGACAGCGGGCCTGACAACACGACACACAGGATAAGCAAACGGCTCCCCCTGCTCGGTCGACCCCCGGCAAACACCCTGCCGCCGTGTTGACTCTGACTGGCTAATGAGGGTGGCAACCAATCAGACACGGGTCCTCACCTTTGGAGACGTCCTCGGTGTCGAGCACGCGCTCGCGCTGCTGCTGCTCCTGGAAGCGCACCGCTCGACCGCTCTCCGGCTCCGGCTCGGCGGCGTCCTGGGCGTCGCGCCGGAACCGCGACCGGTACTTGGAGCGCACCGGGCGGCTGGAGCTGTCGGCGTCGTAGTCGCCGTACTCGCCGGTTCCGTAGCCGCCCGCGTCGCGACCATAGCGGCCCTCGTATCTGTGGGTACGAAGGAGGCGGTCAGGGCGGCGGGCACGGCAACGGTGCTGGTTAAGGTCTACAGTCTAGTTCTCATACACAAAACCACAGCGAGTTAAAGCTTCTAATTCCTGGCGTTTAGAAGAACCACTCTACACTACTCGAGTCTCTACGCAATCAGCTATGCTCTACGCTCACTACCCCGGGTACGACGCTACGCTCCCTCCCTTGTAGCACCAAAAATCCAGACGACGTCCTTATAACGGTTTTGTGAAGGTTTCGCAAAAGTTCTAGGAACGATAGTTGCTACAAGGGCTACTACACTTACGTCATCGAAGGACCATAACTAACCAGGTTACTGGGGAACCGGGGAGTCGGTGTTTATAACGTCTGATAAAGAGCATGCCCGTCTATTTCCGGTTTATCAGCCGAGACACAACCTCCCCTTCCTCCCCAAACCCTTTTCCCGTCTGCTTACTTCCTCCACCACCAGCGCCTGAAAGCACCACAATCGGCAGAAGCGTTACAACAGCAAACACACGGTTCAAACATGTGACGACATCACTCGGTCGACCTGGTGACACTCCTCAAAGCAAGAACACTTGTTATGCTTCCCCCACCGCCACACCCCTTCACACATTTATACACTTCAAGCTAGGATGGTGTGAGAGCGAGGGGTGTGGAACTGGTCAAAAAAGTGTACACATGATTGTGTCTGGACAATCATTGTTTCAGATTATGTGTGATTGTGTGTGATTGTTTATGATTGTGTTGATGATTGTCTCTGATTGTTTCAGATTGTTGGGTCAATATTGGGACATAATTTTAAAAATTGTGTCATGATTGTGTGTGATTGTTTTAGATTGTGTGTGATTGTGTGTGATTGTGTGGATTGTGTGTGATTGTTTCAGATTGTGTATGATTGTGTGTGATTGTTTCAGATTGTGTATGATTGTGTGTGATTGTTTCAGATTGTGTGTGATTGTTTCAGATTGTGTATGATTGTGTGTGATTGTTTCAGATTGTGTGTGATTGTTTCAGATTGTGTATGATTGTGTATGATTGTGTGGATTGTTTCAGATTGTGTATGATTGTGTGTGATTGTTTCGTGATTGTTTCGTGATTGTGTGTGATTGTTTCGTGATTGTGTGTGATTGTTTCGGATTGTGTGTGATTGTTTCGGATTGTGTGTGATTGTTTCGGATTGTGTGTGATTGTGTGTGATTGTTTCATGATTGTTTCTGATTGTTTTTCCCGATGTACACATATTGTGTTTAGTTCCACACCCCTCGTGTGAGAGGGTCAGCGAGCAGCAGCGCGGGACAAACAAGTGTGACGTGTTGTCACGCGTTTCCATGCACACACCAACTGGATTTGTGTCTTTTACTTGTACGAATTTAAGCAATCACATTTTTTGCCGCGTGGTGTCGATGTCCCTTACCTGTCCGTGGCCGCGGGCTTGGGCGGCGGCCGCTCGCCGAACTTCCGTCCCGCGAGCGGCGACAGCCGGCCGCCGCGGTTGTCCTCGTCGTAGCCGCGCTCCTCCTGCTGCCGGAACTGCGTGGCCAGGCGGTGGTCCGACTTGGAGCGCATCAGGCCGGGCGCCGGGGTCTGCAGCAGCCCCATGGAGGCGCTGCCCGTCAGCCCAGGGGCGGCCGCGTGCGGCTGGTTGATGTTGAGGTCCGCATAACCTGGACGGAACAGGCCGAAGATACGTCAATACAAATTCAACAGTACTCCGATTTTTTCGTCTTGATTTTTCTGACTTTTTCGAGATGTTTTCTTCATTTTAGGGAATTGTGTGCACTCTATTTTTTTTTTAGTGAAGTGCCAAGTGCTCCTCGGGACAGTCTGTTACCGGCACGAGGGCGGGCGAATCAGCCACCTGAAATGACTTGGACTTGGAGATTCACGGGAGTATCGAAGACACACACGCACCTGCGACATGGTGCACCAGCTGGTTGGGGTCGTGTGCCATGGTGAAGCGCACCCGACGCTGATAGTCGCCAGTCTCCGTCTCGAAGTTGCGGATAAACTCGACCGTCTTGAGGAAGATCTCTTTGGCGTCCATGAGTTCGCAGTCGTCCCATTCGACGGCCTCCGTCATATGCTTGTCCGCCAGATCGCAGTTGGATGTAATGTTGGAGATCTCGAGCTGAAAAAATGACGTGAACGTGTGAGTTTTTGTCTCGACAGGAACCAAAGTTAGCAAAGGGCGTCAAGAACAAGGGCACGTTCGGCTTTTCAGTGCAGCACAGTCTTCCTTATGGATTCTCGCCCTGCATCCGTCTCCTTCCGCCACCACCCCCAGCCCAGCGAGCCCAGCCCTCTGTTATACTCCCGCTCCACTCCCGCATCCGTCGTTTTATTATTTGTTTTACGCGTCCGAGAGGGACTTACGCGCGCCCTGGCCCAGCATAAAACAGTACCCCATACAACAACAGCGACTTAATATTCTAGAGTAGCCGCGCCACGCCGCGCCACGCCGCTCCCCGGAGCTGCCCCTTAAACTGAGGTCCTCGTAAAAGTAAAACCCGGTACCTGCATATCCATCTGTGTCAAGGGCGCGCTCGGCCCGCTCCTCAATCATGTTGTATGAGCGGAGAGGAGTGTTCCCCGTCGTCTGGTCCCCGCCCCCGCGCCCTCGCGCGCCCTGGCCGTCCAACTGCATCGGCCAGCCTAGCCAGTATAGTTTGTGGGCTCCAAGAGCACTGAGCCACTAGCTGGAGTCCTCTATCATTTCAGCGAAAAAATTGATAATTACGAAGGTGGACCCAGCCGAGGGGGAAATCCGAGGGAAATCACACGGACCATTTTACGGGTATTTCGGACTATTTTGGGATATTTCGCGACCATTTCACTTCCTACAACTTTCGTCTATTTCGCATTAATTTCGCGTGCATGTGTTCGACCCATCCATGTCGGAGCTGATTTCCCGATTTCCCCATCCTCAGCTAGAGCTGCTGCTACTCTAACACCCGTGGAGCGCACCCTCGACGCGGCGGTACTCAGCTTTCGCCCCCCCTCCTCTGCCCCTCCATCCCTCCAACCGCCACCGACTCTCCGAGGGGTGGGCCGGGCGCCAGTCGTGAGAACGAAATGAAAAAAGTTTCCGCGTGATGCCATAAAGCATTCTCCTACGGGCATTTCCCTGTAAAGCTCTGCGGAGCCATCGCAACGCAGACGGCATTCTGAGTAGAATGCAGTGCTGTGCCAGAAGGGAGGTGGG